CTTTCCCTAGACAGATTACTTATAGTTCATTCTTTCATCTTTGGCCTTCTTTCTGTTTCTTCTCATTTTAATTCAGCAACATTTATGGAGTGCTTAAACTCTGAGTGCTTTGTATGGTATGTTTTTCAACCATGTGAAATCTTTAAAACTGCCTTTAAATCCCAACTCAAATGTCATTGCCTGAGGATTTTTCTCAGCTTCTTGAGTAGGGCCTTCTTACATCTGTATTGTCATATCATTTTCTACTTCCTTAGTTCATAGCACTCATTGCATTGTAACACAAGGAATGGTTTGAGTCTATCTCCTTTGCCAAACTGTGAGCTCCTTGAATCCAAAAAGCACATCTTGTTCATTTTTGTGTCCCTAGAGAACTTTAGACAGTGCCTCAAGTAAGCAGGTACTTAGTATAAGGTAGTTAACATCATATATGCATTTTAATTTATAGGAATTTTACACTGCATGCCTAACAAAAAGGAATGATTGAAATAATCTGCAGTTTTACCTGCCATTCTTCCCAGTAAGTGGATAGCTAGGATTGGACGTGAAGTAGAGAGTATGAATCTGTTGTTCCTTCAGTCACTTTCTGTTCCCACATGCCTCTCAAAGTGAACATCTCACCAGGATTGAGTGTGGTATGGTGGTTTCTGACATAGTGATTTCCTAAGGATTTATCAAGGGCAATTTTGACTAGATTGACTTTCTCCATATGTACACTAACTTTAGAACCTAACTCATTATAAAAGATAGGAATGCCACTATACAGTTTAACTAAATGAACATTCTGTCCTTACTCTGAGTTCCTGTAGTAGTTTGTTTTTATGACTCAAATGATATTTTTGCTCCTTAGTTCTTAGCTATTTGTTCATGTCTAATCTCACCCGTTGGAAAGCAAGGATCCTCTTTGTATTTGACATGCTGGTTTTCACATGATATTCATTTTTAGAATAAATAGACATTTTAATGTGCTTTCATTGTGCTAAGGTCTAAGGAATAACCCAGAAGCCATATCCTTTAACTCAACCATCCAGTGGTCATCCCTTTACTTGATGCCTTTTGCTAAATTTTCCCTCCCAATTATCACGTCTCTTTTTCCACAGCTCTTCCG